TGAGGGGAGAGAAGAGAGGGAAAGGTGATAGTGGAAAAAAAAGTGAAGGATAATATGAAAATAGAGCTTTTGAGAATGGGCAGGGGACCAAAAGTTGGAAGGAACAGGGAAGGAGGGAAGAAGAGGACAAAAAATTTTTAGAAGATGTATTATAATGTAATCATTATGTACTGCAAAAATGTACAAATAAAAATGTACCATTCCTTTCCCTATTCTAATATAACGTCAAAGTCCCTTTTAAGTACAATATGTACAGATATACATGTATGTACCCGATTCCCTTGGTCACTAACTCTAGCTAGCCTAAACACGTTTGTTAATGAATTCTATCCTAAGGACCGTTGTTTTAAACAGTCAGGAGCACCGAGCTTTACAAGAAATCTCAATCGGGTCCTGAAATCCTCGGCTGTCCCCACAGCTGGACAGATGGTCAGTGGACCCGCCGGCTGCACAGCAAAACCCTCGCCCAGGTCCCCGCTTCCCTCCGGCCCGGGCATCCTCTCTGGACCTCGCCCGCTCTCTCGCAAGACCGACAAACTCTTCCCTTCCCACGTCCCTGACTCTTGGTAAACTCCTCACCTCTGGCAGCGCAGCCATGCTGCGCCCCACAGGGGCGGGCCTGACCCTGGTGCCGTCTGTGGCCCAGCTATGACCTCCGCCCACCTCTGGAAAAGCTGAGAGCCCGACTCGGGACCTCGGGCCACAACCCACCATTTTCCGTTCCCACAGTCTCCAGCGGGGCCCTGCGCAAACCCCGCCCCGCGGCTCTGAGGAGACAGCGCCCGGAGCCGTAGCCCTGACCACTCTAGCCCCCAGAGCGGAGGACAAAAGCCCAACGGACTGTGAAATCCCGCCCTTTCCGCTCTGCCTGAGCGCCTGATTGGTCATTTATCCACCTCTGATTGGACAAGACTTCAGGAACTAGCCCCTCAGGTCCTGAATGACCGGAAATGGCCCCAACCTATGATTGAGTGAGGCTGAAAGGGCTGCTTTTAGCTCCAGCTGTTTTCTTTTAAAATCTTAGGATGGAACTCAGGCCTCGAGGCTGAGCCTATTTTTAAAGTAAAACTTCCTCCGTAGGAAAGGATGTACTCTGCTCAGGGTACGTTGTAACACCTAAAGTCTCACTTCCACTCCACGGAGCGTGAACAGCCAAAAGGGCCTTCACCATGCTGAGTCCTATAGCCCAACGACGGCTCCGGATGCAAGACCCAGGGCCTTACTTCCGGGAGCCTTGAACACCCCAAAAGGCCTCCAAGATGTTGGGACCTAACTCAGTGAGGCTCCGGAAGCTCGACAAGAACACACCAGGTTCGTTGGTAAATAGACCTTTATTCGTCTGGCCAGAGGGCATGCTCAGAACTGAGCAGCTCAGAGAGGCCCCAGCTCAGGGGTTAGCACTGTTTTTTAAAGGCAAGGGAAGAGGATTGCAAGCACAGCAAGTGGGCCAGGGGTCAGGGAGTCGGTTTTCTGCCATCTATCTAAAGGAGTCAGCTTTACGGTGCACCTGGCCTTTCATCTCCAGACCTCAGGCAATTCTGTTCTAACAAGGCCTTGAGTCGCTATCTTGTTTGCCCATACCAGGCTTCCATACACTCTGTTTTAATCTTATCTTGGAGCTGGGTAAAAAGAAATGTGTGCTGCTATATGCTGGCTAACTAGGGGTTACATAGCGGTTAGAGTCCCAAAGTTATGCAATGCATCATTATACATCATATCGGAGCACTATGGGAGGCTGAGGCTGGAGTATCCCAAGCTCAAGCCCTGTCTGGAAAGCTCAGGAAGACCCTGTCTCAAAAGAAAAAAAAAAAAATATGAAGACCTGGAGATGTAGCTCGGTGATGCATCCACTTAATCCCCAATACTGCAAAAAATAAGTCATTATCAATGTATTATGTGCGTGTGTATTATGCACAAATAAAATATAATCTTTAAATTTCACTTCTCTGGTTTTTTGTTTTGGGAGAAGAAAGGAGCTGGGTATTTGAAATAGGAAGCAATCCCTTAAGGTAGCAATGTCTGATACAAATAAACTGAAGGAAAAATATAATTTTTAACTTTTTAGTATTCACATTTTAAAAAGTTAAACCAGGAATGGTGGCACATGTCTATAATCCCAGCACTGTGAGAGGCTGAGGCAGGAAAAATCACAGATTCAAGTCCAGCCTGGGAAACAATGATTTAGTGAGACCATCTGTTAAAATATGAAATAAAAAGTGTGGAGGCCTTGTGTTCAACCCCCCTGTACACACACACACATATTAAGAGGCAGGTGAAGGTGATTGTAATAACCCAATATATCCAAAATATAACCACTGTAATTTATGGTCAATAAAAAGTCATTACTGAATTGTATGTATTGTGTTACTACAGCTTCCAAATTCATTTTCTGTTGAAAGCCTCTAGCAAATTTGCATGGAGCTGCCATGTTACAACATAGAGAGCTTTGACTCCCCTGACTAGAGTAAAGGAAAGGACTGAACCCTCCCTTTATGCCAGAAACAAGATAATGCAAGTCCTTACCAATTTTTCCCGTCAGGTCCAGGAAGGATAAAGACAATCCAAGAAAGGGAGACCCATTGTGAAGTTATCCAACCAGAAATGCACAGAGGTAAAATATTGTTTCCCTTTTTCAAGTGCTCCAACATAGATTCATCTTCCAGGGAGAGGCACTATTGGGACATTTCCTATCAGTCAGCCCCAGATACCTGGCTTAGACTACAAAAACTTCAGATGGGGCCACAGACACCTATGGCCCAACAGCTGGACATGACCTTTTCTTTGATCAACAATTGGAACCCAGAAGAGTGACAAAGAGAGAGGCTAAGATTAAAGCTGTCTCAACTAGTAATGCTTTAAACCCATTCATATCATCTAAGGAAAAAAAAAAAAGGAAGGATAACCAAGGAAAGGGTTCTTACTTCAAGTGCAAAGGAACTAGACACTGGGCACAAAATTGCACCAAGCCTCTGCCTGGGCCCTGCTCTGTATGTGAGACAGCTAATGCACCTGACTCATGACATTGGATCTTTGAGTATCTCTGCTCCCAGAGAGGGGCTAGGCCAGCCAAAACCTTCATTTACCAAAGAGGCTCAGGGGAACCTGCAGTGCCCCTGTCCGCAGACATCATCATCTTCTCACAGGAACCCTGGGGAACCCTGGAGGTCATGGGTGAGCCAATTCAACTGCTTCATTCTGTTTTGATTTCCTTCTCTGAAAACGTCTCCTCTGAGTGTATAGTTGGGCTTGAAGGGACCCCTAGTTGAATATTATTTGTGAGCTAGTACTCTTCCAGGCCTATGAAGGCAGAAAAGACATCAGTGACTTGCTCCTCCCAGGTTCTGAGGAGATGTGGTTTACTGATGGAAGTAGCTTTGTCCCAGAAGGACATTGAAAGACAGGTTATACAGTTATCAGCTCATAACAGGTCACAGAAGCTAAACCTCTTCCCCCAAGAACAAAAGGCAGAGCTTTTAGCTTTTAGCTTGGGCATTGATATTAGGAAAAAGTGGAAGGTTAAACAACTATAGAAACTCCAGTTATGCCTTTCTGGTGCTACATGTCCATGCTGCAATCTAGAGAGAAAGAGACTTACTGATAAATAAACAATCATCTATAAAGCATAGGCAAGAAATTCTACAATTCCTACAGACAGTCTTTCTTTTCAGGTAGGTCATAGTCATGCTCTGTAAAAGATGCCAAGGAGATGTGTCTGAAGTCTCCTTCAGAAATCAAAAGACTGATAGGGAGGCAAAAAAGGCAGCCCTATAGCCTCTTAAGACTCTTGCCTTATTCCCAGTTCCTGAGGAACCAGTAAAGCTAGTCTATACTGCCAAGGAAGATAAATGAGCATTAGGACAAGGTAAAATTAAAAAGGGACTGTGGTGGTATTTGGGAAACAAAGCCAGTTCTTTCTCAAGGGACATAGTGGAAGGCTATAAAAGTACTGTATGATTCCTTCCATATGGCAAGAGATTCTACACTGGAAATGGTTGCTTGGGTTTTCACAGGACTAGGACTAGCAAAAACCACTCAACATCCAAAAGCTTGCCCACTTTATGCCTACAACAACCCAGGCTACTTCAAGCCACCTCCTCTATTAGAACTTGTAGGGAGGAGAGGGACATTCTCTGGAGAGGACTGGCAATTAGACTTTACCAATATGCCAAGATTTAAACAGTTTGGGTCATAATTGATACCTCTACAGGCTAAATCGAACCCTTTTCTATTAATTCAGAAAAAGCTACGAGGTAGTCAAGGTGCTTCTTCAGGAAATCATCCATAGATTTGGACTATCCCAGTCTCTCTAGAGTGACTATGGACCTTATTTTACATCTCCAGTAATTCAGGAAGTGGCAAAGGATTTGGGAATAAAGTACCATCTCCATTCTACTTGGCAGCCCTAATCTTCTAGAGAGCCAACTAAAGTAAGCTCAGCCAGAACTTGCCAGGAGACATCTGAGACCTGGCTCTAATTGCTACCCATAGCACTCATGAGGGTTTGTAGCATGCCCCAAATTGGGCTAAGTTTAAGCCCATTTGAAATGTTATACAGAAGGCCACTTCTATTCTCTGATATGATAGTAGATCCAGGGACTACAGGACTCTTACAACATCTCATCAGTCTGGGTCAAGTATAACAGGCTATCCAAATGTATGGAAACAGAGTTCTGATAGCTCCTGGCCCAGGGAGACCACCTACTGTCTGTCCTAGAGACCAAGTGCTTGTGAAAACTGGCAGAGACAGAATACCAGCAGACCAGTTAGAGCCAAAATGGAATGGCATTTTTACAGCACTCACTGAAGTAAAAGTGGCAGAGTTAGATTATTGGGTTCAACTTTCTAGATTAAAGCTAGTCCTACCTGAACAGCTTAAAGAACAAGATCACCCCCCCCAAAAAAAACTACTCCTGTGAGCCTCTGGAAGACTTGAGATTTCTCTTCAAAATGCAAGGCTCTGGTGCAGGTATGGGTTAGTGAACAAGATCTTACTAAGGCCATGGTTCTCAGCCTCTTGATAATTTATCTAACATATCTATATCTATCTATCTATCTATCTATCTATCTATATATATATATACATCTTTCTGTGCAGGAACCATGGAAAACTGATATGCTCCTCACATTTGAGTTAATAGTAAAGTTTCTTTTTCCTATCAAAGAAGCTCCTCAAGGGTCACTGACTGTTTTCTCTTTATTTTCTGACAAGTTTTTCTTTCCTCAGTCTACCCAGAGAGCTACAGCAAGGTAGTTGGAGACTGCATAATCTCTAATAAATAGGGTCTACAGCCCCTCCCAGATTGAAGAAGCTATAGAAGACAGAAACCAACATTCCTTCAGCACCTCATAAATAATTATGGGATTTATGTCTCTCAGGTGGGGAAAGATTTAGGAGTTAGGGTGTGGCAAAGCCAGCTGGGAAAATAAGTGGGACCTGTCAATTACAAAATCCCAAGGCAGTGTCAAATAATTCCCAAGACCCCTTATGTGGTACTTCTCAAGGGCTCCCACAAGATGTAGACAACATAAAAGGACACAGATGCCATGAGGAGCCCACTATGGTGACTCTTCATGGTAGCTCACTCTGAGTCTTCTCGAGCAAGCTCTACTTTTATTTTTGCTCTTTTTCTTTCTTGTTCCACCAAAGTTCTCTCTACAGAGTCAGTTTTTCCCTTATCCTTTCACCCCTCACTTTTCAAATAAACTTTTGGCAGTTTCTGGCTTGTCACATTCAGTTCTTTGCTCAAGACAAAAGGGACTTGGAATACATTTAACTGGCAAGCAGATTCTAAAGGAGCTACCCAATAACAATCCTGCTGGAGGCACTGTATGTAAAGGCTGAAACTATAACTCTGCCACCAGAATTGGGATTAAAAACAGAATTGGAAGTCACTCCTCCTTCTAGTGTGCAGTGCCAGGATCTCTATGCAGTTTTCTCTGACTCCAACATGCTGAGTACAAGCTGAGGGCTGAGCTGACCTCTGGAAGTCTTACTTTCCTTGGATGGATGTGGTGACTGTTACAGAGCAGATTTTCCAGATCATCCACCCTCATTATTCACAGATTCACACGGGTGAATTTGCTTACTTGTTCAAATTTGTTTGTAACTCGCAAGAAACACTTGTAGCGATTTTATGGACATTCATGGACAAGCACTGAGCAGAAAAAAAAATTTAGAGTCCCAAAGTGGCTCTTCCTGGCTAAAGTCAAATCATATTCTGTTTTTGTTTTTGTTTTTGTTTTGTCTTGCTATATCCAAGTGTAGTGTTGGCTTTTTTTCCATCTAGTGTCATGATTTACTTTTATACCCCTCCCTCCCTCCCCCCTCTTCCTTTACTCTTTCCTTTTTCCTTCCTTCCTTCTTTCCTCTTTCTCCTTTCCTTTCTTCCCTCTTTCCTTCTTTCTTTTGCTTTTTGTTAGGGATTTTGTCTAAAATAGTCCTCAAGCATTATGTTGGTAGTGTTCCTAAATCCAAGAAAATAATGATGCGCCCTAATAGAGATGGTATATGCTTAGATAAGCTTCCTCCAGGGATCAGCTATAATGTTTTTGGCACTGAGTGCATTGTTAATGAAGTAACAACAATGTACATCCAGGAAAACAAAAAGGAAAAAATATTACCCATAAGGCCACTCCAGAAACTGTTACAGTAGCAATGAAGCTCCAGAAAAGTTGAGGAAGTCACTAAATTTATGAATTTATGAAGTTAGAAGATGAGATCCAGTTTAAAACAGTGGGTACAATTGTTGTGAGGCCAAAAGACAAAGAATTTGAGGCCATATTGTGTATCACCAAGACAATGTTAAAACTGTTTTGGGTAATGGAAGTGAGCTCATGAGACTTATATGGAGACCGAAAATGGTAAGTGTTAGACTTGCAGTTGAGGTAGATCCTGCTAATCATAAGACTGTGAAAAAATTTGGAACACACCTACAAATATCACACAGAAGAAGAATGAATTGGAAAACCAGATTTTCAATCCTGATGATATTGAATTTTATAAAGGAAGCCGCTGAATGGCCCTGTATAACCCCAATAATTCAGGATTCACTAATTCAGTGTTCATAGCAACTTTATAGAATTTAATTATTGTGACTAACAAAATCTATATATTTTCTGAATGCAACATGAATAAGTTCATTCATTTTTGGGTGCTGTAGTAGTGGATAGATAGGATATTGTTCCAATTTTTCTCTGCAACCTTTGTTGTTTAGCCTTTCAGGTATTTCCTCCAAGAGATAGGGTTTGTTTCTCCTCCTCTTGACTCAGCACTGGGCTTTGTCTCACTATGGGCAGTAGTTTTTTGTTTTAAATTTTTTTGTACCGGGGATAGAACTTGGGTCCTTGTGCTTGTGAGGCAGGAGGCAGAACCACTGAGCCAAATCCCTGGCCCCGGGCAGTAGAGTTTTTGAAAAGTGATGCTGTGTCACTTCTTAACCTAAACTCGAGTCTTCATAGCTTGTATTTTCTCTCTCATTACACTGAGATGTCCAAAGAACATGCCATGGAGCAGAGGCAGGAGTTCTAGCCAAAGTCATCTTAGCCATGTAAGATGGCTTTCATGTGCCCTGTGCTGTTCAGGTGGGCAAATCATCCACCAAACCAGAAGAG